CTCAGGCTCTCCAAGTCAAAATCCAGAAATTCCAAAACCATCGGAAAGCTAAGAAACAGGGATACATTTCATAAGAAGACCTCAACAACCAATTCGGAAGCAATTACAGCCAAAACAACCAATTACAGGCGCAATTCTTACATTCGGGTAAAACCAGAACAGCAATAGTAATTTCGACTTTTCTCATTATACACTACTCCGATTGACTTGAAATTTTGTAGGAACCTCTAAAATATCATTACCTACAACCTTCATGTTTTAAGCCAAGGCCAATTCGGCCTCTAACTAGGAGCTAAAAATTCGGTCAGAATGTTCCTTCACAAAACCTAATTTTCTGAAATTTCTTCCAAAACAGAAATTGATTGCAATTATCCACTTTTTCCACCTTCTAGCTTCATTACATAACATTTCCAATCATCATACATGACCCCATAATCATATCCATATGAAAACAGAAAAATTCCAAAAAATTATAAAACTTCACCAATTCAACCAAAATCAAGATATAATCCATAATATTGCATCTCATACTACCACTAATCATGATTTAAGCATCAATTAAGGGAGGAGGGTGGTTCTTCACAACTCACCTTAGCAATACAAGAGATAGAGCAACTAGTCACCTTAACTTTCCAAACAACTCCACAAAACACCTCAAGACCACTTATCAAAGAGATTTTTTGGAATGATTTGGAGTTTTATTGGTTGGATTTGAAGATTGAGCAAGAAATAGAAGGAAGAAATTGATAGCTTTTCTTTATTTTCCTTTGAGAGAGAGCCGGCTATGAAGCTTTAGAAATAAGGATGATTTTTGGCAATTTTTTGATTTATTTGGTAAAGTAGGGAATAGTGTAGTCAAAGTCCAAGACTTAATCTTATGGTGACACTTGTCACCTTTAGGTTTAAAACTTATCTTTTTGTCACTCCAATACAAATATCTTAACACCTTGTAAAATAATATCACTTAATACAAAATTCCAACAAGTTGTCAAAAATATAATGCATTTACCGCACTAGCGGGTCCCACGTTCAAAATACGTTCTTAATTTCGCAAAAACTAACCGATACTAGAAAAATCATTTTAAAACTATCTTTGCTCATAAACTTTATCTGGGGAATTTTTCTAATAAAGAAAATGTAGAAAAGGCGGGCGATTAAATAAAATAAACCCTAGAAAATTAGAAAATTTCCGGGTTCTCACACTCATACTTTTCGGGGCGTCACATTATGTCTTTTCATTTCCAAGATATATTTGGGTCTTACCTTAATAGTTCCTACTAAAAAGGTATTCGACTCGTGTTTGGGTCTTAATTGTACTTTCTTGCTTATTATAGGACGTGCCGGTGATCCGAGGCTCACGTCGGGCGAAAACTTGTGAAATTTCTTTATTTGACTTGGTGAGTGTACTACTCACATGTTTGTTATTTCGTGGCTTTCTTGTACTTGAATTCTGTGATTTGGACTAGTTTTGATTATTGTTTGGACTAGGTGAGGCGAGGTTGTACTTTACCACTCTCGTACTCTCTGGCCTGTTTGTTTGTTTAGTATATCACTTGAACACTCTTGACTGTACTTGATTTGGTGTCGCTTGGATGTCGACCTTTACTGTAACTCTGGATCTGTACTACTGTTCACTCTGAACTCTACCTCATTGGAAGTCAATGGACTCGAGCCGGTAAGGACTTGGTCGGGGACATTTGACAAGCCATGGGGACTGTATTTGGGAATCTTTGGGTATGAGACCCTTGATTCCGGTATACTCGAGTAATACCAATTCTGTACTGTTTGGTGTTCGGGCCCGGTAAGGGGAAAGTGAGGTGGATGGATAATTGGAGTAAAGAGGAGTCTACGGTCATGATTACCTGGTATACATTGACGGAGAGTCAATGAGATGAGATCAAGCATGGCAAAAGGGGAAAAGGGCTCTTGAGAGCCATCCGTGTCCTTTTATTCCTTCCACTTGGGTGTTGTTGCTTTTCCCTACTTGACGTGCGTATTTGGACTGAATATTCCTATGTTTATGTGATTTTGGTATATGTACGTGATGGTACCTCATTGGGCGAAAGCTCACTCCGTTAATTTTGTTTTCCTTACAGGGAAATATCTGTTGGACTTTTGACTTTGAAGAATGAGTTGAGTAGAGGGAGTTGAGAGATTTTGTATCGCTCCTCATTAGTTGGAACTTTATTTGTACTTGGATTTAAATGTTTCCTTTTGGCTTGTAATCATACAAATGTGGTTCGTAACAGTGTGTGTATTCATGTTCCATGTATTATACTTGGCTTGTATATATATATTCCTTTCAGGGATTGTAAGAAGTTATTTGCAGTTGATTGGGTCTTGGCGGATTGTGATGTGGCAATACACTATTCGCTTTACGTTTTGATTTCATTTTCCGTTTCTCGATTGTTGATTGGGTTAAGCGCGCTAGTAGATTCCCGAATGACTAGAATTAATGTTTTACCGTTTTAGTAGTCCTGGCGAGAGTTGGGCAGGCAGTCCGCTAACCCCTTTGGTACGCCTTAGGGGAAGGTGGGGCTGTCACAGGTGGTATCAGAGCCTAGGTTAGAAATACCCTGGGCGAACCTAAAACCGGATTCTTAGAAATTTTGGGGATTGTGTTTAGACGCCATTAAGTGTGAATATATTGTCTAAGCTATAAACCTTTGCTATCTTTGTAGGTTATGGCTGGCACTAGTGGAGCGGGCGGAGGCGAGCCACCTCAGAGGCGCCCACGGGTTATCGACTACCAGGAGAGACCGGGAGGTCCGATCCGGCTGTGGTATACTGCTAGCCGGACCCGCCGCTGTAGGCGATGCCAGTTTTATTCTTACGCGGACCATGTGGTTGTGGCAGTACTTGCTGAGCGACGGAGGCTTAGATGTGACGTTGCTAGGGAGCGCACTGAGACCCTTAGGCTTAGGGGCATCATGCGGTTGCAGGCTGATAGGATTGGAGAGCTCCAGGGGGACGTGGCCATGGAGCAGGAGAGGACGAACGCTCTGAGAGAGCAGTTGCAGGTGGTTAACGACCGCCTTACTAGAGTAGTCCGGGAGGTGAGAGACCGGTCCGACACTATTATCGATGAGTGTGGGGCGCTGATCCAGGAGGTGATTGGCGCCAATGCGCCAGGGGGAGTTCCAGGTGGCGGAGCTCCAGGTCAGGGAGGCGCCCCTAGCTCTAGCTCTGGGGGGAGTCGGTTGGCTCCGTCGAGGACTAGATTAGGGTTTTTGAGCCTTGTTTTGATCCCGTGTGAGGGATACCTAGGAAAAGCTTTTTGTTAGTTGCTTTGTACCTTTTGGGACCTAGGTTGTACAGTGTATTTTGGCAGACCCTCTTCTGGCTTCACGGGAGTACTTGTGTATATAGTTGCTTGACTACTTGTGTACGACTGTTTGACATAGTTATGTGTTTATGTATAAATACTCTATGTGTATACATGCCTTATGTGGTGTTTACTTTTGATTCTTCGTTCATGCTTCTATGACCTAGTACAGTCAAGAGTGAAGTTTATTTATATGTCCTTTTTAATATTATTTTGTGCCTCGACATTAGATTGACCTAGAGAATGGAGGGCACTCGTAGTGGGAGAGGCCGTGGCCGCAGCGTTAGGCAACCTACAACTGATGAGGGGACTAGGGATACCACGACTGAACCAAACCCTGAACCTAGGGTTGACCCTAGTGCCCAGATAGCTGCTGCTATGCAGCAAATGACTGACCTGTTAGCCCACGTAGTGCAACAGCAGGGCCAACCTCCTATTCCGCAACCTGGGAACCCTGGCCATGTAGTAGAGAGTGAAGATCGGGCCCTAGAGAGATTTTAGAAGTTCTCTCCGCCAAAATTTCTGGGCGGGCCAGATCCAGACGTGGCCGAAAAATGGTTAGAGAAAATGATAGATATTTTTGTAAGCCCCGATGCAACCAAATACAACCAAAATACTCAACCAGACAAGTAGTCAAGTAAATACAATGACAAAGAATATAAGCAATTTTAAAGCACAAAAATAGAGTAACAATAAAGTAAAAGAAATTCAAACCAATCAAACTCCCAATCTTCTTCCAAACTTGGAGTTGAATCCACCAAATAGCTTCTTCAATTGATGGTAGTGCTAACCAACTTGTACAAGTGAAGGCTCACTCCTTCCTCACCCCAAACATACTTTGGTTGAGCAAAGGAATTTTACTACTCTCCAAGTAAACCCTCAACTACCTACAATTGAAAGCTTACCCACTCAATTAAGAACTACTTTATACAAGTGAGGCAACCTTTATCAAGGTTTTACCACTCCAAGTGATAGGTTCACCTTCACCAAGGTTTTACTCCTCCTAGAGAGTAACCTTCACTTGAGCAACCTCACAACCCAACTTTCCCAACCCCTTATACAACCAACAAAGAATATTTCTACTCAAAGATCTCACTTGTAAGCTTGTATTTAGTGTTGGAAAAAGTCTGTGTCTTCTTGTGTTTTGGGGTATTTATAGAAGGTGAGAAAATGGCTCCAAAAGGCTCTCCAACGGTCAAATATTAAATGCTGTCGAAACTAGCCGTTGGCCTGTCGGACGTCCGAACCATTTGCTCTGCGTCCGAACCCTGCGTCCGATAGAAGTCAGAATGTTCAACTTTCATTCTTTTTGTGTCGGACGGCCGAAGCAATGAATGAGCGTCCGATCCAAGCGTCCGAAGAGTATCGTCGTCTGTCGGACGTCCGATCCTCTATCGAGCGTCCGATCCTCTACGTCCGAACCTTCATATTTCTTAACTTCTCTTTGATTCAAATCTTTTCGATTCTCTTTTGGATCAATGACCTGTTCTAACAAATTTCTCACATAAAAACATTAGTCCAAATCTACATTTTGGTTTGTTAATCATCAAAACCAAGGACTGATCAACCAAGGTCAACAATTTTTGCCACCCTACACTATTCAGAAGAGAGACAGGTTACATTTGTTGTCTTCCAATTGGAAGGGGCCGCGCGTTCTTGGTGGAACGTGATACGAATGAAGTGGGACCGGGAACAAACCCCAAGAACATGGGTAAACTTTGTGAGGGACTTCAATGCAAAATACTTTCCCCCTCTAGTCCAGGAAAAGAAGGAGGACGAGTTCATTAGACTCCGTCAGGGGACGCAATCGGTGGCTGAGTACGAGAGCCAGTTTACTCGTTTATCTAAGTTCGCCCCTGAACTTATTCTAACGGAGCAAAGGAGAGTTCAGCGTTTTATTCAAGGGCTCAATGTGGAAATTCAAAAGGATCTGGCGGTAGCCCAGATCAATACCTTTAGTGACGCCGTGGAGAAAGCTTTGCGCGTTGAGAATGCAAGGCTTCAAGTAAGGAACTTTCAGGTGAAAAAACGGGGGTTCTCTGCGAGTAGTTCGACCCAAGGGGATAAAGGGACCCCTCCCAAGTTTGGAAGAGGAGCCAGGGGAGGAAGGCAACCGGGGATGACGCGAGGGACTCCGCCGAGGGGTGGTCACAATGGACGGGGCCCGCAGAAAAGCGTCTCACAAGGAAGTTCGGCCTCAGTTGCACGCGGACCCTGTAGATTTTGTGGGAAACCAAACCACACCGAGGACAACTGTTGGAGGAAAGAGAGAAGATGCCTGCGCTGCGGGAGTGCGGAGCATCAAATAGCCAACTGTCCAGTGTTACCTCGGGAGGCGAGAGTAACCACCCAGTCGTCAAAGGCCAACTCGGGACAGTCCAAGGTAGAAGGGAGAAAGCCAAAGGTGCCAGCTCGGGTTTACTCCCTTGAGCAACAACAAGTCCCTGATTCGTCTGGGGTTGTAGAATGTACGATCCCTGTTTTCCAATTTCTAGCTAGGATTTTGATAGACCCTGGTGCTACCCATTCCTTTGTTAACCCCGATTTTATGTGCGGCATTGATATAACCCCTGTTAGCTTGCCTTATGACTTAGAAGTTAGTACTCCTACGGGGGACCAACGTTTGATTACTGGTTTGATGTATACAAATTGTGAAATTTGGGTAGGAGAGAGGAAGCTTTTGGGTAATCTTATAAGTTTGGCCATTAAGGGGTACGACGTTATATTGGGTATGGACTGGCTAGCTAAGTACGATACACAACTTGATTGTAAGAGAAAAGTAGTGGAATTTCGTATTCCGGGGGAGGCAACCCTAAGGCTAGATGTAAGAGGTAGTTTAGCCTCATCTGCATTGATCTCGGGTATGCGGGCTAGGAAATTTCTGTATAGAGGGGCCCAAGGGTTCCTAGCTTTTCTTATAAACACTCCCACTGATAAGCTGAAGGTTGAAGATGTGCCTGTTGTAAGTGGATATCCGGATATGTTTCCTGATGAGTTAATAACTTTACCTCCGGAAAGAGAGATAGAGTTTAAGATTGACCTTTTACCGGGGGCATCACCTATCTCTAAGACCCCCTATTGAATGGCACCTGCTGAACTCAAGGAGTTGAAATTGCAGTTGCAGGACCTGTTGGAGCGTGGGTTTATTCATGAGAGTGGTTCTCCTTGGGGGGCTCCGGTACTGTTTGTTAAGAAGAAGGATGGAACTTTAAGATTGTGTATCGATTATCGGGGATTAAACAATGTGACCATTAAGAATAAATACCCGCTTCCCCATATCGATGAACTGTTTGACTAGTTGCAAGGCGCAGTGGTCTTTTCGAAGTTAGATCTCCGACAGGGTTACTATCAGTTGCTAATTAGGAAAGAAGATGTACCCAAGACTGCTTTCAATTCCAGATATGGGCATTTTGAGTTTGCGGTCATGCCCTTTGGGTTGACCAATGCCCCTGCCGCCTTTATGGATTTGATGCATCGGGTTTTCAAACCCTACCTGGACCGATTTGTTGTCGTGTTTATTGACGACATTTTGGTCTATTCTAAAACCCGTGAGGAACATGAGCAGCATTTGAAGCTAGTGTTACAAACCCTGAGAGATCATCGGCTATACGCCAAATTTAGTAAGTGTGAATTTTGGCTGGAGAAAATCTCTTTCTTGGGACATGTGATTTCAAAAGAAGGTATTACAGTGGATCACGCGAAAGTAGAGGCAGTGGCTGAATGGAAGAGGCCAGAAAACCCCACTGAGATTCGCAGTTTCTTAGGATTGGCTGGGTACTATAGGCGCTTTATTAAAGACTTTTCCAAACTGGCCGGCCCTTTAACCGATCTAACGAAGAAAAATGGCCGTTTTGTGTGGGATACTAGGTGTGAAACCAGTTTTCAGGAGTTGAAGCGAAGGTTAACCATGGCTCCTGTTTTGGCCTTGCCTAATGGGAAGGACAGTTTCACTGTTTATACCGATGCTTCGAGGGAAGGCTTAGGGTGTGTGTTAATGCAAAATAAGAACGTGATTGCTTTTGCCTCTAGGAAACTAAAACTCCATGAACAAAACTACCCTACCCACGACTTGGAGTTAGCTGCTGTGGTCTTTGCTCTGAAAAAGTGGAGACACTATCTCTACGGGGTTGCCTTTGAGGTTTATTCAGACCATAAGAGTCTTAAGTACCTCTTCTCCCAAAAAGAGTTGAATATGAGGCAACGCCGGTGGATGGAACTCTTAGAAGATTATGACTACACGATCAACTACCATCCCGGTAAGGCTAACGTAGTGGCGGACGCCCTAAGTAGAAAGGCTGAAGTATCAGGGCTGATGGTCAAGGAGTGGGAGATGCTAGGAGCAGCGAGCGAGTGGAACCCTAGATTGGGAACATTCGGGTAACATCTACTATTCTCGATCGAATTAAAGAAGCCCAAGAGAAGGATCCGATGTTACAAAAGTGGAAGGAAAAGGTAGAAAATGAAGCACTACCTGATTTCAATTTGGGTCCTGAAGGGATTTTAAGGTATAGGAACCGAGTAGTAGTAGCCAATGATGAAAACCTGAAAAGATAAATTTTAGAGGAAGCCCATCGATCGAAATATACGATCCATCCTGGTAGTAATAAGATGTACCAAGACTTGAGACGGTTGTACTGGTGGGATAAGATGAAAAGGGAGATTGCTCAATTTATCCAAACCTGTCTGATTTGCTAACAAGTCAAGGCTGAACAACAAAAACCCTTTGGACTGTTACAACCTCTTGAGATACCCGAATGGAAGTGGGAAAACATCACGATGGACTTTGTTTCTGGATTGCCAAGAACTCAAAAAGGACATGATGCCGTTTGGGTGATCGTTGATCGGTTGACCAAATCGGCCCATTTTCTACCTGTGAATGTGAAGGATTCCATGGATAAGCTGGCTCGGTTGTACCTAAATGAAATTGTGAGGTTGCATGGGGTCCCAGTGAGTATAGTTTCAGACCGAGATCCTCGTTTTGTATCGAGGTTTTGGCAAAAGTTTCAGGAGAACTTGGGGACCAAAATCAACCTTAGTACCACCTATCACCCCCAGACGGATGGACGGTCAGAACGAACAATTCAAACTCTCGAGGATATGTTACGGACTTGTATTTTGGATTTTGGGGGTAATTGGGGCCAACACATGACTTTGGTAGAGTTCGCCTACAATAATAGTTTCCATTCATCCATTCAAATGGCACCATATGAAGCTCTCTATGGACGAAAGTGCCGTTCACCCATTTACTGGGATGAAGTAGGGGAAACGAAAGTTTTAGATCCAACAACCATTCCCTGGATGGAGGATGCACAAGAGAAGGTTAAATTGATCCGTCAAAGACTCCAAACAGCTCAAAGCCGACAAAAGAACTACGCAGATAACCAAAGGAAAGATTTGGAGTTCTAAGTTGGAGACCGTGTTTTCCTTAAGATCACGCCATTACGAAGTGTCACTGCGGGTAGAGGAAAGAAACTTCAACCACGGTTCGTGGGGCCTTATACAATTCTCCAACGAATTGGGAAAGTAGCGTACCGACTCGAGCTGCCGCCAAGCTTATCTCGGATTCATGACGTTTTCCATGTCTCGATGCTGAAAAAGTACTATCCTGATCCAACCCACATTGTGCGACCAGAGGAGATTGAGTTAGATAAGGCACTCACTTACGAAGAGAGACCTGTACAAGTACTCGATCGAAGGATTAAGGAACTGAGGAATAAACAAATTCCATTAGTAAAGGTTTTGTGGAGGAATCATGGAATAGAAGAGGCAACTTGGGAGGTGGAGGAAGAGATGCAAAAGAAATATCCTGAACTGTTTCGTAACCCAGGTGAGAAATTTCGAGGGCGAAATTCTTTAAGGGGGAGAGGGTGTGAGAACCTAGAAAAAAAAATTAATTAATTTTTAAAAAATAAATATTATTTTATTCCTGTGCACCCGTTTTCTTTTATTTTCTTTATTATATTACTTCTATCAACATTTTATCAGTTAAATATAGTTTTTAAATCATTTTCCTAGTATAAGGTAGTTCGTGAGAAATTTGGAACGTAATTTGGGCGTGGGACCCGCTAGTGCATTAAGTGAGAGAAATTCGGCCGATTAGGTTAAATTTTGTGTAAAGGGATTCTATTACTGGGTATTAGGAGATAGTTGGAGGTTACCTAGATGGATTAGCCATGAGGGACAAGAAGATAACTCTAGCAAAACAAAGTGCCAAGTGTCTAATTTTGGTTAGACCAAGCTTACCTAACTTTTGACTAAACTTTCCTTACTTTCCTTAAAGTTCAATTTTGACCAAGATGTCTTCATTCTTCACTTGTCTTGGCCGAAACTTCTTGGGAGCAAAGGAGAAAAAATTCTTCAACCTTTCATCTTCAAATCCTTGCCAGATCTTGAAAACTAACCGTTTATTTCTTGAATTAGTCCATAAAATCGCCTTGCTAAGAGTGTTTGAAGAACTTAGTGGTGTTGTTTTGGAAGAAAACCTCACAAGCTACAACCTTTCTTGAAGAACTAAGGTATCTTGCTTGGAACTCATCTTTTGTTATTAATTTTGGCCAATTGGTGCCTTATAGTAGCTATTTACGCGATTTTACGGAAGCTTTGGTGGATTGGAGTGAAGTTTCCTTATTTTTCTGATTTTTTTTGGAATTTTTCTGTTTTCCTATGATGGATATGATTGAGCTTGAATTGGTGGTTCTAAATGGTATTAAATAGCTCTCTTGTGCATTAATTGTGGTGATTTGCGGAAAATTTCCGCTTGTGCGGAAAATTTCAGATTTAGGGTTTCAAATTGCGGGTTTTCGATAGTTGATTGTTGAGCTTCTAATTGGCTATAATTGAAGGGTATTGTGACCCTAATGACGCATATTGAATGTCTTATATATTGTTTGGGTGCTTGTGGTTGTGTTGGATGGTTTTAATGGTTGACTTGTAGGTTGGTAAAGCTGAAATTTTAGGGGAAATGCTGTCCAAGTGTCTAGGGTATTAGATTCTTGTGAGTTAGGTTGAGATTGACTAGAAATGAACGGTCTTAGGGTATGTTTTTACTTTTAACCCTAAATGTTATGTGTGACAGCCCCACCTCCCCCTAAGGTGAACCAGAGGGTTCGGCGGGCCGCCTGCCCAACTCTCGCCGGGACTCAGTCGTTCACTAAAGTCCTCAAATAAATTACAAGAATAAACCTCAAATATTACAATATAAATCTCCAATATACATCAAATTCTCCAAAAATTACATGTCATAAGCGAAGCGGAAACAATTCCCAACTATACATAAAATGATTCCAAATCCAAACTGTACAAGATATAGGCCATCCAGTCACGTGCACAAGTACTACAAGTCCTTCCTTCGCCACGAGCCCTGTGGAGGGGAATAAAATAGTTTTGGGGTGAGCTAGAAGCTCAGCGAGTAACCAGGAAAATCATTAAACAAATATATTTCACAATGTTGCATTTCGATGATTTCGATGATGTCATGATGATTCAGAGATCATATGTCCGTTTAGTGCTCTCGTGAGCCAGTGAAATCATAGCACTTGAACACCCAACGCTCAAATAGATCATTTAACATTAACATTGAGAGGGAGCCCCTTTTTGAGCTCCAGATAAACAGGAACATGAACCATAAACAAGGTGGAGACGTTGGTGTCCAGCACAAGACTTTCCCAGAACTCATTGAAGCCAAATCATGTCATGAATCCACATGCAAGCACGCATGATATGCAATCGAGTAAATAATGCAGGAAACGGTTCATAAATAACTTTAGAAATAGTTTGAGGTCACTCACCTCCATGGCTCAGAAATCATCCATCATATAACATTGCCTTGCTCAAATCCAAGCCTTAGATCACAAACCCAACGCAAACAAGTTCCTTCAAAGTTCGGACAGCACTTCCCCTGAATTTGCTAACTTTTCCAGCCATCATGGCTTCATTATTTCCTCATTCCAACCCCAAAGGTACACACACAACAAGTTCATCCAATAGCCATTCAGCAAGCTCCAAGTAGTACAAGTACAAGTCAAGCTAAGGAAAAGTCCGGAAATGAAAGTTAAGCTCAAAACCAGAAAAATAGGTTTTGACGTCATTTTACGGTATTGGTACCAAAGGCACTACGATTGTCGGATGAAGGTACAAGACCCACATTTTTTAAGCTAAGAGATAGGGCTACAATATTTC